TATATATATATATATATATATATATATATATATATATATATATATATATATATATACATATATATGTATATATATATATATATAATTTTACTCTGCAGAAAAATCCGTATGCAATAATATATATATAATATATATATATTATTGCATGTGAATACATACATATATATATATATATATGTATATATATATATTATATACATAGTATATATATTATATATACTATATATATTATATATATTATATATATTGTATATATTGTATATATATATATAATATATATAATATATATAATATATATAATATATAATATATATATAATCATGTATGGGAGAAAAGCTTGGAGTGACGTGAAGAAAGGGAAAAAGGACTTGGAAGGAAAAGTCTTTTAAAAGAAATGGCATTTTATAAATGGCATTTTATAAGCAGCATTTAATTAATGGCATTTAATTAATGGCATTTAATTAATGGCATTTAATTAATGGCATTTAATAAATGGCATTTAATAAATGGCATTTAATAAATGGCATTTAATTAATGGCATTTAATAAATGGCATTTAATAATTGCAGTTGAGAATGGCATCTACTAAATGGCATTTTATAAGTGGAATTTTGATTTGTGGCATTTAACAAATGGCATTTAATAAATGGCATTTAGTAAATGGCATTTGATAAGAGCAATTAATAAATGGCATCTAATAATGGCATTTAACAAATGGCATTAATAATAGCAATTAGTAAATGCCATTTAATAAATGCCATTTAATAAATGACATTCAATAAATGCCATTTAATAAATGGCATTTAATAATGGCATTTAATAAATGGCATTTAATAATGGCATTTAATAAATGGCCTTAAATTAAAGGCATCTAATAAATGGCATTTAATAAGCGGCATCTAACAAATGGCATTTAATAAATGGCATTTAATAAATGGCACTTTATAAATGGCATTTAATAAATGGCATTTTATAAATGGCAATTAATAAATGGCATTTAATAACGGCAATTATAAAATGGCATTTAATAAATGGCATTCTGTAAATGGCATTTAATAATGGCAATTAATAGATGGCATTTAGCAAAGTGGCATTAATTGGCAGCAGCAAAAAAGCAACTCCTGGGGCCTCTCCAGTCTTTTGTTTTCTTTTTTATATTTCTTTTTATTTCTCTTTTATTTCTTTTCTATTTTCTTTTTATTTCTTTCATTTCTTTTTAATGTCCAAAATAATACTTAGCACTCAAAAACCTTTGCACTTCCCCACAGCAGCAGCAGCTGCTGCTGCAACAGGAGGTGCTGCTGCAGCAGCTGCAACAGCTGCATCGGCTGCAGCAGCAGCAGCTGCTGCAGCAGCTGCTGCTTCCGCATCCCTCTGCTCCTTCCGCTGCTGCTGCGGCACCACCAACCGCACAAAAAGCAGCAGCAGCAGCAGCAGCAGCTCTCTGCCGCTTCCCACTCCACTCACAGAACTCCCGCACCACTAGCAGCAACAGCAGCAGCAGCAGCAGCAGCAGCAGCAGCAGCGGGATCAAGACATGTTACTGGTTTCTGCTGCTGGGGCGTAGCCAGTGGTCCGCTGCATCACCTCCTCCACCTCCTCCCGCAAGTCCTGGAAGACGTCGCTGCCTGCTGCTGCTGCTGCTGCTGCTGCAGCAGCAGCAGCAGCAGCAGCAGCAGCAGCAGCAGCGGGCTCAAGACATGTCGTTGTTGGTTTCTGCTGCTGGGGCGTAGCCAGTGGTCCGCTGCATCACCTCCTCCACCTCCTCCCGCAAGTCCTGGAAAATGCTGCTGGCAGCAATTGCTGCCAGCACTTTGCTGAAGTCGTTGCCCTGCAGCAGCTGCTGCGCGTTGTCTTGGATTAGCTGCGAGACTTGTTCTCTAAGAAAAGGATTATCTTCGAGGACTTTTCTTAAAGAAAAGAAGTACAATAGAATGGCTAATAAGGCCTCTTCGTCCTCTGGCTGCGAGAGTTCGGACTGCAGCAGCAGCCGCAGCGCCTGCTGCGGGTTGCTGCTGCTGCTGCTGCTGCTGCTGCTGCCCGGCGCTGCTGCCAGCAGCTGCTGCGCCTCCGGCCGCCCCAGCAGCCCCCCCAGCAGCTGCAAAGCCCGCTGCACAAAGGCCACGTCCAGGGGCTCTTCGGAGTCTCCGAGTTCGCTCCCGAGGGCCCCCAGCCGCCCCGCAATGGCCTCCAAGTCTGCTGCAGTTAGCTGCGAGAGGCCCCCAAAGGGGCCCCGAAAAAACGAGCCCGGGGGGCCCCCTGGAGCCTCCCCAACTGCAGCAGCAGCAGCAGCAGCAGCAGCAGCAGCAGCAGCAGCAGCAGCAGCAGCAGCGGGGAAGGCGCGTGGGGGGGCGAGTCGGGG